AATATTTATTTGTTCAAGTTTCGTTTCTATGTAATCATCGAATATAACATAATTTACACTTTAATATAAAATTATATTATTTAAAGTAACAACAACAATTTATACAATTTTAATTACCATTCAGACTTTGTAAATGTTTAAAAGTAACAACCATAATTTTTACACTATTTTCGCCATAGCCAAACGTCTACAGTAAAAGTTTACAGTCATAATCCTTATCAATCGAAACTTTATTAGATTTTAAGTTTTGATAGTCTCACTTTTTTATTTCTCTTACTTCTTTTTTTGTTTAAATCTCGTTTACGTGGTGTAAAAACAAAACTTTTAAAACTTTTTTGTTTTTTCTTCTCCCCAAATAAATTGTAAACTCTCTCTCACCCTACTTTTGTTATAGCACAAAACTGTTTTGTTATATTATGCACTTCGGGCACATGGCCAATCTTAGGGGTGTGTAAGGAGTGCACTTGCATAGGATTTTTTTTTTTTTAAAAAGGGCCAAATTTTTTTTTGTATAGACAATTAGGGTCCGAAATTTTTGTTTGGCTCTGGAATCTCTCAAACTTTGGACCGGGTTTGCTTGTGCATAGCTTAAATTCCATGATGGTTTATTGATGATTATTTTATTAATAATAATGGTAATACATATAGATGAAATAGTTCTAAATAGACAAAGACCCTGTTGCAGCAAAAGTCTTCAATCCGCTTTCCTCCTAGTGGAATGATTATCCCTGTCACATTTGGATTTTCTCTTTCGAGAGTCAATTTTGCAATTTCTCCATTTTTTCCAACCAATTCTGGCCACATAAATTTTTTTCCTGGATGGTTAAATTTTAAAACAGTAATGGATATATTATTACTTCTTTTAAATAATTATATTATGTAAAATTGAGATGAAAATTAAATGAGAATAAAAATATACCCTTAGCACAACACTTTGGATCCAAGCAAAATCCAGATACACATGGAGGATAGCAAAGCAAATGAGACATTTTTTCTTATTTCTCTTACAACTAATACAATTTTATTCTTTTGTTTTACTTTCAATATGACTATCGAAGTTCTAGTTATATACCCATTTGTAACATCCTTTTATATGGAAACAAGTAATTTTTAGAGAAAAAAGAAGGAACTACAATTACTATTTATCACGTTGACCATGCTACGCATCTACCATATCCATCAATAAATTAAATTTTGACTATATTTTTTCATTTATTATTTGTATCCATATTTATTTGGTTTCCTTCAATATCTAAAATATATTTAAAGATAAAAATAACCAAAATATAGAAGTATAATTATGAATGACTTAGAATATTACCATATGTTGTCGGTGCTAGTGAAATCGAGTTTTGGAATATTTCAGGTGGGAGAGAAGTAAGATATGTGAGAACCTAAACGAGTTTTGTTGTGGAATTGCCCTGTGGTTTGGTTAATAATTTATTAACTAGATTTTCACCCGCACTATGTGCGGGAACATTCGTTGTATATGTTGTAAACTATACTTGGTGTTCGTATAATTGTATTATGTCATATATGATATGTTCTAACATTAGATATTGTATGTTTTTAGGTTGTAAGTAGAATCAATTAGTTTGAAATAATGAAGGTTTTTGTTT